TTTGTAACCGATGGCAAATGCAATTAAATTGATTACCTAACAAGTCAAGTTTCAGTGTAATCATACCGTATGAATTTAAGCTGTAAGCGATCTCTCAACAAGAGACGCCAAACTGCTTTTTGAACAATTAGAATCACAGATACTTTTCGTAAACCGTGACAACGGCTCAATTACATATTTATGTTATAACTACTCAGTAAGATGGAAATTATCTCCTACGGCAAGCAGTCTTTTAAATCAATCCATAAGAATTATAAGATTCGTATAAGAATATATTTATATATCATGGTAAGTGCAGCTTTGAAGGTAAGACTTCCCGAAGTGAAAGACACACAAATAGATATATTCACGAATGCGAGCGTATTCTTATCTTCGATTCAAGCTGTTTACCAATGGCTGCAAAATATCTAAAATTAAAACTAAGAAATTACTAGTGGAGAACCGATGTTCGAATCCCTATCAAAAATGTGCCTTTTACTTTCCATACGCGTTAAATAAAAATACTAAGTTTGATGTAAATGCTTATAATGTGTTTTTAGCTAAGTATTTCATTTAGATAAATTCTTAGCAACTTTATTCAATCATCAAAGACGTTTCCTTGAACTTCTACAGACTTAAAACGACATTCTTACAAATTCCTTATTCATTCCTAACAGAATGATTCCGGTTTTGGTTCGAAGAATGAGATAAATCACATTAATAATTATGATTTTTTGAGTAGTATTTCTTTTAATTTTAATTTTATTTCCTTTTCCTCATAAAGATTTTGATCGTTATTCTACAGTCATTAGTAAATATCACGAACTGAAAATAAAAACGAAAATCTCTACAGGACACGAATTCGCATTACGTTTGCCTCGGGAAGTTTATACGCTTCGTCCGATTGAGCTTCGAACACCTTACATCAAGAAGCCTTTTAAATTAAATCATAAAAATTATAATCATATAAAAATATTTTTATGTATCCCGATAAGCCCAGCTATGAAGGTATGGTAGACTTTCCGAAATAAAAGAGAAGAAAAATAGTTATCTTTACTAATGTGAGCGTATTCTTAATTTCGATACAAGCTGTTTACCAATAGCCGCAAAATGTCTAAATCTACACCGAAGAAATTACCATGCAAAATCCCTTTTATTGTTAAGAAGTCTTTAAATAATAAATATTCACAGGTATGACGAAATTAATCCCGTTAGGCATTGAGAATCTGTAATTAAGGCAAGCCAAGATTTGCGTCAACGTTAGAACAAAAGTAAACGCATCAGTATATGTATACAGAAATATACCCAGGTATGTACATACATATATAGGTAGATGTGAAATAAATTGACTGGGGCAAATCCTCAACAAGAAATAATGTGATATAGAAATTAATCGATTTTTAAGTGTGGAAAATCTAAACAAATTGGAAAACGTTTTATTAACAACTAGCAGAAGAGCCTGGCGTTGCCCGGGGATGTAACAGTAAGAGATAGATCACGTATCGACCATCATAAAGACTGAAAAATAAAATTGACAAATATTATTGTTTAAGGTTGACGGACACGCATGTCTTAATTAGTTTGTTTTTTAGTTTTCGTTTTTTTTTTACGAATTGGTCAAACCCAAATTCAAACAAAAACATTGTTTTCAATCGTTATGAGTCTACCGATTGAATAGAATTTTATTATAAACAGTTGTTTGTAAATGGAAATTTTAAAGCATTCTGAATGTAAAAATAAAGAAAAAAATGTGAAAGACAATAAGAAACACTACCTGCCAAAAAAAAAATGAAGTTTTGTTGAAATCGGTTGAAAAATGTAGGACATACGATCCCATATATAAACGAACACACACATACACAAACAACCTGGGTTTTATAATAAGTATAACTCGATATGAGTTGTCCCCCTTTCATTCTCGTCATGCCTCTTAATCGTATTTTCAAATTGATTTTGTGCAAAAACAATTGTGATTTTCCAATTTTTCGCGCTGTCGGAACCATCGCAAGGTAGTTTTACGTAGTTCTGTGAAGTTTTGTTGAAATCGGTTGAAAAATGTAGGAAACCCGATCCAATATATAAACGTACAGACACACACACACACACAACCTGGGTTTTATAATAAGTATGATGCATTTCACCTTTGTTACATAGGCGTATTCCGGTTAGAATGAAAGACAAATCTGTGTATTTTTTTTAATACCAAAACCGTTAAAATCTATTTGCTACGATGGCGTCTTCCAGTCATCAGTAAAAACTGCACCTGTTGTTTGTTTGTGTGTGCGTGTGTGCTTTGCATTAAAGTCGCTTAGCACACTTTTTAAGTGTTTTAATATAAATGGTGTTTGCTTTCTTCTATCTTTGATTTTTTATCTCTCCCATTTGGCGACTGACAACCTGATTTCACTAAATTTATTCTCCGTTGATGTATTGATGTATAGTTACCCAATATATATATATATATATATATATATATATATATATATATATATATATATATATATATATACGGGTAATTTCCGACCGAACTATTTTAATCTAGTTGCTAATATCTCTTTAAGGAAATGTCCAAATCAATGCGGATTGCTAGAAGACGAATTGGATTTTCAGAGGAATCGTCTTCCAGATGACTTGAGGATTATCAATTTGAAATGTTCCGTTCTTTGCTAGCTTGCACATTGTCTTCTTATAGTAAAAATCTAATGTTAACAGTACATAATCATTAAGATATCTATACGCTTTCGAGCAAACACACGCACGCACATACAGATTTGAGTTTGCAACCACTCATTTATTAGTTTCAATGGAAACACGTATACCTGTTTATAAACATCCCGTCGTAACATTTATACACAGTGCGATGGATAAATTGTCGTCGTCTGATTTAGGCAAACAAATCAAAATAACACTGGCATCTCATTTTAACAGATATATTTACCAAAATGATACTAAAATACTAAAGAGTAATTTTATTCAATAAAATCGTCATTGGCTTCAACCAAGGCATCCAGATGAATTCGGAATCTCCTGCAACTCTTCTGGGCGGTCTCCTTGTTTAAGTTGGTGAATGCTGCCATAATCCTTGCCTTCAGTTCATCTTTGGTGTTAGAAGGTGTTTTCTTGGTCTCTTGCTCAATTGCGCCTCACACATTATAATCAAGGGGGTTGCAGTCTGGCGGGGTAGGTGGCCAGATGTAAGGGATGATATGGTTGCAGAAATTGTCTGAAAGACATGAATGGGTTCTCCTGCTTTTGTGGTATGGTGCAGAGTCCTTTTGACAGACACAGGGTCTTCCAACAGTCAACCTCTTAACCGAGTGCATCACTACCCCATCAAGGCACTTAGTGTAGGCCTCAGTGTTGAGTCTGAGGCCCCGTGAAAAGATGAATGGAGGCACAACGTCGCCATCATTAGTAATCACCCCAATCACCATGATATTCACTGGATATATCATCCAACTGTTTTCAAATCCTCTGCGCTGTCTTCAGATTGACATCCAAACGCTATGAAATGTATTAGACTTTCTGGCGCGAAAGCTAGCAGTAGACTATGCCGTTTCCAAATTTCTGGCGAAATGAATTGTGTCAAGTTATCGTCTTCATTTCCCAGATAGTGCCCCTACTGACCCGACTCTTCTGTGCAGTAGACAAAATCAAAAACAAAAAAAAAAGTTCTTGCGCGAATTTAAAAATGTAAACTGGTGACAATTTATCCATCGCATCCTTTATATATTTCATTGTCTTTAGTGAGTTATTAAAGGAAGAATTCAGTTTTAAAGGAATGGACATCATTCGCAGATAAAGGGTGTCTTGATTTAGTTTTTTATACAATTTCTCATGTGTTCTAATAGTTTTTTTTTCAGATGATAAAAAGAACATTCGGACAGTTTTTATATAATTTATCATCTGAAAAGAAAAAATTATTAGATCCCATGAGAAATTGTATAAAACTAAATCAAGGAACCTTCTCCGTCGTATTCAATGAAATGTGCACACACACACACATATATATATATATATATATATATATATATATATATATTAGGTTGAGTGCAAAAAATAATGACAATAATAATGTCGTTTTGTGACGTATTTTTAACGTCAAAAACGACATTATTACGTCATTATTTTTGCACCAACCTAATATATATATATATATATATATATATATATATATATATGAATATATATATATATATATATATATATATATATATATGAATATATATATATATATATATATATATATATATATACGAATATTACAATAAACGTGCAATCAATTTACAAATACATGAATTATTCACACAAAACTAATGCAAAGGTTAATGATTTAAATGGCGAGACATCCATCTCGCAAACAATTCAAATAGTACACAAAAACCTCCAGATCCGTTATGAATGAATTGATCCTTGTTTATATAAATTTCTGCCGTATTAGTTGTTATTTTTTAAATGTGCAATAGAATTTGTATCTGACAAATGACATCTAAGACGTCTTCATAATGTTGCGGTCGTCAAACCAACATATGCACTTACTTTATGTTTTTATCAGAGATACAATCTCACAAAGGACATTAAAACTGATATACAATGTTGGGTTTTGCCAAAACACTAGTTGATGGAGAAGAGTTATTGCATAGGATTAAGTTGGTTGTGCTAAATTTACTATGATATGTAATTAGTTTCATTTGTTACTGGCATCAGTGGGGAATATATTAGTACTTTATTTTCATAGCTCTGTTATTTTCATTTGATTCGTTTTTCTCCGGCTTATTCACAGATTATTTAAAGCCAGGAAGTATTTTTAGATTGTAAGCACTTTTTTTTTTTTGGATAATAATGGTTTAGGGAGACAGGTCTTACTAATTACCCATAGCAGGAGAGAGAAGTGGTGGATTCATACCTTTCCAAATCATATTTGCGCATAAGTGAATATAATAAACTCAACGAGAATTGGAACTCGGCTCTGCGATTAGCAATTCCAAGCCGTTATCCTTTACAACACCTTCAAGTCAAAGCTTACAGGACATGGTATTCACAAGCGGTCACCCATCTAGTTACTGACCAGGCTCGGCGTTGTTTAACTTCGGTGATCGTACGTGAACTGGTGTTTTGATGTAAATGCTTATAATGTGTTTTTAGCTAAGTATTTCATTTAGATAAATTCTTAGCAACTTTATTCAATCATCAAAGACGTTTCCTTGAACTTCTACAGACTTAAAACGACATTCTTACAAATTCCTTATTCATTCCTAACAGAATGATTCCGGTTTTGGTTCGAAGAATGAGATAAATAACATTAATAATTATGATTTTTTGAGTAGTATTTCTTTTAATTTTAATTTTATTTCCTTTTCCTCATAAATATTTTGATCGTTATTCTACAGTCATTAGTAAATATCGCGGACTGAAAATAAAAACGAAAATCTCTACAGGACACGAATTCGCATAATTGCGATTAACAATTCCAAGCCGTTATCCTTTACAACACCTTCAAGTCCATGCTTACCTGGTATTCACAAGCGGTCACCCATCTAGTTGCTGACCAGGCTCGCCATTGTTTAACTTCGGTGATCGTACGTGAACGGGTGTTTCAACGTGATGCGGCCGTAAATATTTATCTGCAAAAATTTTCACCTATCGACAATACACTATACCTATATAGTTGATCTCGCTTCATAGTATTTCCAAAGTTGTCGTAATTACGTTCTCTCGAAAGGTGTTGATACTAATGCTTTAGGTGTACGGATTTGTTTTCTTCTAGTGGTGTAGGTGTGGGGTCGAATTAATGAGAGCAATTAGTAATTATTTGTGTTTATTGAATTCTTTAAATCTACATAGAAGCTAAATATTTGAACCAGTTTTGGAATCCAGGAAACTAAATTTCAGGATATTTGGGAAGCAATTTATATCGATAATTTCCGCATTGCATAATTCTTTCTTGTTGGAACTTCTTTTTCCGAACATCTCTGTCTGCATATTTGTTATACTGGAACACACCTATTCTATAGTTAATAGACTCTCCCACCTATAATAAGTAGGAGTCGCTTAGTTAGTCGATGTCGGACACTAAGAGTATCTGCGACCACCACTAGATTTCTCAGCGTCATTACTTATTATATCAAGTTCCTAACGTTTTGTACGTCGAACCTTTTTAGGACCGACTTAGTACAAATACAAGCCTCCACTGTGAAACTGCTCTACAACAGTATTTTAAAATACTGCTTTAGCATTTAATATAATCATAATAATATATACGAATTGAACTACTGAAAATTGCATGATTGTGGAAAACTCAGATTATTAGTTATTTTATACCTTTGCCTGTATCTTTACTTTCTTTCACTTATATGTTCCGTTCTTCGTTGACTGACCATCTGAATCAACGTTTCTTAATCGGAGTTCCCCGGAACCCTAAGTTCCGCAAAAAGTCACCATGGGTTCTATGAGAACAGGTGAGATATGCTAATGCACTTCTGACTTTTTATTTAATTTCATATAAGTAATATTACTAAATATATTCTTGGTTATTGTAATATAGAAATGATCCTATATATTGTTGCAGTTTTCAACCTTTTACAAGTATTTAACAAGTATCAAGAGCAAAGACAGAAATCGTCTCCTCTCAATTGAGAATGAAATCCGTGTGTTTATCTTAAGTTCGACCTCGAATTAAGTATTTGTGTAGCAAAAGACAGGCACAGGCTTCACATTAGAGAAGCATGTTTCACTTTATCAAATGGCTCTGAGAGTAACATTTTCTTCGCCCATTTATTGGTTCACTGGACATTTTGCCTTGATTTACCTTATGTCTTTTCAACATTGCCGATAAAGGATAAAAATTAAAAAAATAACTGATGCAGCAATTATCTGCTTTCGTTTTGTTTACATTTATATTATAAGTTTATGATATTGGTTATTTATGTTCATTTTTTACGTTTGAGTTTAGAAATTTTTTGTGTGAATGAAGAGTCCTTGACAAAGTATTATAAACGAACAATATGAATTTTATTTAAAATTACCGAAAAATTCCACAAAGAAGTATTAATTTTTACTTAAAACAGTTATTCAAAAATATATACTATGATATTTACCAAGTGAACTACAATGAAAATAAAATGAGAAAAGATATAGTATATAATTTTGTTTTTGCGCAGGGGTTCCTTGAGACATGTAATATATTTTAAGGGTTACGTTGAGAAACGCTGTTCCAACTGGATTAATTTAATTTATAACAAAGGAAATAGGTAATGTACAAATATTTTGGGCTATATCCTCATTTTAACTTTCTTTTATTCTCTTTCTCCATAAAGAATTATAATGTATCGCAATTTTATACATTTTCGTTCCGATTTGTCATCTTTATCCGTCAACTTTTCTCTTTCGACGTTGCGACATTATGCTTGTTTCTTTATTCTTTTCTTTTCGTCTTAATATCTTACCTTTCTCTCTCTCTCTCTCTCTCTCTCTATCTATATATATATATATATATATATATATATATATATATATATATATATATATAATGAAGAGAAAGAACAGTAAAATACATAATCCGATGTTCTTATTGATATTTTTATAAAACAGTGTTCAATGTAAATCTACAGAGCATAAATATTATAAATTTACTTATTTAAAAATATGGTTCCATCGCTACACAAGAATTACTATGTGTCAAAAACAGAAGCTAAAATCTTCAAATTCAATTATAGAATTAAATTAAAGTCCCTAGTTCTGTTTCATTTTCAAGCGAACTTTGAAATAACTTATTTTCAAATTTACTGAGTTTTATAAGCACAGTAGCAGTAGAGCCCGGCGTTCCCCGGGGATGTAACAGTAAGAGATAGATCAAGTATCGACCATCATAAAGACTGAAAAATAAAATTGACAAAGGTCATTGTTTAAGGTTGACGGACACGCATGTCTTAATTATTTTTTTTTTTTTTGTTTTTTACGAATTGGTCAAACTCAAACAAAAACATTGTTTTTAATCGTTATGAATCTACCGATTGAATAGAATTTTATTATAAACAATTGTCTTGTAAATGGAATTTTTAAAGCATTCTGAATTTAAAAATAAAGAAAAAAGTGTGCAAGACAATAAGAAACACTACCTGCCAAAAAAAGTGAAGTTTTGTTGAAATCGGTTGAAAAATGTAGGAAGTCCGATCCCATATATAAACGAACATACACACACACACACACACACACACACAACCTGGGTTTTATAATAAGTATAACTCGATATGAGTTGTCCCCATTTCATTCTTGCGATGCCTCTTAATCGTGTTTTCAATTCCATTATTTAGCTTGACAAGGACGTAATGTACATTTTTGAAGGAATAATTTCATAAATTATCATGAAATCGACCTCTTTTTAAACGAAAATAAAAAATCTCTTCATTCTATTTTCGACGTATTGAAAAAGTAGAAGGTATTGAAAAAATTTAATAATAAAACTTCGTAATGTTGCATAAACGATACGAACAGAAAAGTTTCTGAAATTCCTTGATCAAAAAAAGAAAAGTCAGTAAAATATTAGATCATATAAATCGATTTTTCGAGTAAAAATAAACACACAGACACACACACACACACACACACACACACACACACACACACACACACATAAGACATTTTTATATATATATTTTCGATATAAATTTTACTGAACAAAAGTTATCAAATTTTCCCTCTATTTTTTACTATCTTGCAGGCAAATAACTGCATCCAATTAAAATATTTGATCATTTAAAATATAGAATATAGACTTCTAACCCAGGGAATCAATTACGGAAGACATATACAATGGAAGAAGGAATATAATTTTAAAAAATACCCATTCTGTGAATTTCTTTAAAGAAATAAAGAGCGTTTTGAAAATACAATAAAAAATGTTGATGAAAATGTAAAACGTTTGAAGAAAAAAACCATCTATGAATGTTTAAGTAGACTTAGTAATTAAGTAATACGTTCGACTTTGTATCAAGCTTTTTGTACATTGACTATTTTAGAGGCTTACGACCATATCACGTTGAAACATTGGTTCTCGAGCGATCACCAAAGTTAAGCAACACGAGCCTGTTCAGTACTTAGGTGGGTGACCGCTCGGAAATATCAGATGTTGTAAGCATGGATGTGCGATTAATGTAATGGATACCGGCTCGAATTTCAATTCCAGTTGGATTCTTTATATATATTACACAGAAAAAAAAACAACAACAATATCGGAAAAGGTATGAATCCAGCTTTTCTACAACCAACTATTGGATAATTTCAAATCATAACTATCCCTAAAAAAAATCTTACAATCTATGAATATTTTCTGGATTTAATAATTCTGAAAAAAGGTTGATAAAAAAAAAAAATCAAACAATATCTTACGAGTTAAAAAGATCTTTCTCTCTATCCAAGTTGAAAGTGTTTCCAAGTTTCATATTTCTGTCATACTGAAGATGATATAAATATAAAATGCTTACCGCTAAGTACATTTTTTGGTTAATATTTCACGAAGAAATGACGGTGAGGTTCTTATATAGCTTTGTGTCTAACCTGTTACCAAATACGATAATTAAAATTGTAGTCTGTGTGCCAACTATCAGATCGCCAACCTATGACTATATTTGTAACGTGAAGGCTTTTTATCACAAATATTTTTTCTTCCCAACTTTTGTATTATTAAGATTATCTTGACGTGTAATGCTTTGAGGTGTTTGAAACCTATTATGGAAAATAAATATTATTTTTTGAAAGATCGTAATGAGTTTCTCCACTGACCATGCTGATATAAACAAAACAGACGACGGAAAAATGTTATACGGAAATATGAAGGCGCACTGGAATAGCGAAAAACGCCTTCAAAAAGATAAGCAAAATATTTAGAAACAATAAGATTTCGTTAGAAACAAAAGAAAAACGTGCTAAACTGCAACTTAATATCAATCCAAGAATACCATAGACGAAGCATGAGAGTAACAAGGAAGTTTTAAAGAAAACAAAAAGAAAAAGGACACTTATGCTTTCAATGTGAAAATTTTAAATTTCTGGGATACATAAAGAGGGAAAAGGGCTTCTACAATTTGATATATTTCAGTAGCCATTTCTTTGTTTCTAACGAGATTTGCCTGTTTCTCAATAATTTTAAATTTGGAAGGCACCTTTCACTATTCCAATCAGCCTTCGGATTTCGGTGTCGCATTTTCTGTTAAAACACTTCTAATCTATTTACTGTAGTCGAACTGTTGTCCTCATCTTTATTGCCACGTTCACGACGTTTCGGCCGTTGTACGCTCCGGCCTTCTTCAGGTGACTGGAATTTCGAACTGAACCCTTTATTGCATCCACCGGGGTAGATTGTTTAATTTCCATGTGTCATGCCTCTTCCGGGTTTCTCAGTTATTACTCTTTAACTCAATTCTTCATGTTTTTCTTCATTACTGCAGTAGACACGTATTGAACTCACAACTCTTTGGGTCAAGTCTCTGGATCCAACCAACACTTTTATCCACTTGAGGACATAAATGTATGAATTTTGGGAACTTATAAACTTAATTTCTCGGTAATCATTTTTTTTTTTACCAGAGCTCATATTGCCATTTTGTTGATGTTATTGCTTTTCTCTAGCACTTTGAATTACTGGTTCCTATATTGTATTCATTTTTCAGATCTGTGGATCATATAACATCGGGACGACCTTCAAAAGTGGTTCGACACTTCGCAGACACCTCTTGCGAGTAAGACACCCCCATAGAGGAGGACATGACTAAGGACGGTGTACACCATCGAGTACAGGTGTTATAAGAAATATATATAGGGGAAATAGGCCACCCACTTAAGGTAAGACGGCAAGAACATCGTAAATCCGTAACACGAGGAGAAATAGAAAAATCAGGCGTTGCTGAACAAATATGGAGGGAAAAGGGAGATCACCGGCCTATGTAGGATGAGGTTGAAATAATAGTCAGAGGACATCACTAGAAAATACGAAAGCTTAAGGAATCAACACATATGCTAGGCATCTGTCTATATTTCTGAGATGAGGTATTATGTACACTATTTACATTATTCAGACTATTGTCCTCATCTTTGTCGCCATATTTATTACAACGTTTCGGCCGTTGTCCTTCCTACCTTCTTCATGTGGCTGGAATGTCGAACTGAAACCTTTATTTCGCTCACTGGGGTAGACTGTTCTCATAACTGACATCCACTAAACATGGCACGTGGAACTAGAACAGTCTACCCCCGTGAGAGAAATAAAGGTTCGACATTCCAGCCACCTGAAGAAGGCCGGAGCGTACAACGGCCGAAAAGTTTAAATAAATATGGCGACAAAGATGAGGACAATAGTCCGAATAATGTAAATAGTGTACATATCCTAGGCCTTAAAAATCTCCTAAAACGGCCAAGCAGAGAAAGTAATAATGTCCGAAACAGTAATACGGAGTGTTATAGAAAAGCAATAATAATAACAAAATTGCAATATGAGCTCTGGTAAAAAAATTAATATTGAGACATTAAGTTCATAAATCCCCAAAATTCATACACTGATGTCATCAAGGACACATGGTCCAGTGGATAAAAGCGTTTGTTGGATCCAGTGAGTTCAATACCTGGCTACTGTAGTAGTGAACAAAAACTTGGACAGTTGAGTCAAAGGGAGATAACTGAGACTCCCAAAAGAAGCATGGAACGTGGAGCTAGAAAAATCTACCCCCGTTAGTCGAAATAAAGGGTTCAGTTCGAAATTCCAATCACCCGAAGAAGGCTGATGTGTACAACGGCCGAAACGTCGTGAATATTGTAATAAAGATGAGGAAAACAGTCTGAATAATGTAAATAATATCAATAATTATAATACCTCATCTCGGAAATATAAACAGACACCTCATTTACTATTAATATTAGGAGGTTATTTGTTTGAATTTCTTACATTATACGACCGGTTTTGAAAATAAGAAGCACTGACGAAGCACTGAATAATGAAGTCACGAGGATATGAGAAACGCTTTCAAATCTCGTCGGCATCTATTTATTTCTGAAAATGGCTGGTTGCTTAAAAACAATGCAACATCCTGAATTCTGTTACATAAACAGCAATAAAATAAAAACTGTCATAAATTCATCAAAGAAAACTTCTTTTTTTTTTTTAATTTACCTTTGTGTTTTATCTCTAACTAGCTTAAATGCCGCCCTATAGCGGAGGGCTCTTGATTTGGGCCTTCAACTTGTTCAGGAGATTGAGTTCCTAAGCATTGGAAGCTCTCTTGGCTGCCCTTTGATTTGGGTTTTCATTTGCACGGCACTTTGTTTTCCTCGCTGCAGCCTTGGCTCATTTGATTGAAATATGGTCCTCTGTTGGCGGAGATTTCTTTTCGAGAGTCATACTGCTACCGTATGAGATATGAGGCAATAATAAGCTACAGAAGAAGTCAATATTGTTCGCTGCATTTTTTGCATTAATATTTAAGCTTACCTTTTAAAGATAATTCTTCTGCTGCCACTTAATTTAAAGACATTTTTTGTACGTAGGTCTTTGTTTTCCGTACAAACTTGTTTTATTTACTCTTCGTTCATAATCTTGGTTTTCTATCCTCTATAAATGATTTTTTTTGTTGCATGATCAGAATGTCTTTCTATCATTCTATATTTCTTCTTCTTTGTACTGTGTCCCCTCAGGAAGTGGAAGATCGTGGCTCTCCACACCGTTCTATCAAGCGTGGACCTCAGCAGCGTTGCATTACCCACTTTTGCCATTCATTCACATATGATCCTCAGGTAGATGGCGTGCTGCCCTGTATATCCCCTGTTAGGGTTAACTTTTTCCAAGCATTTCTTCCTTATGTTTACAAAAAGTTTAGCTTTCTTTTTCTGATTATAAGTATAAGAACTATTTTTGTTATCATTTTATTTCAGAATCCCTCGTTGCTTAATCGACCTGTCCATGGAATTTTTAATATCCTTCTATAGAACCACATTTCTGTTGCCTCTAGTTGCCACTTCACGACTTTAAAGCATTTACTGCCATACAAGAGGATTGATATCTCATAGCAATTCAACACTTTTTTCCTTGTTTCTAAAGAAATCGTCCTATTTGTAAAGAGTATGCGAATAATTAAATGTTAGAATTGGAAAATGGATATTGTAAAATTAAAAAAAAAAAAAACATCTTAAAACTGTTTTCGGCTCGCAAAACGAAATTTCCAGGGTAGCGGGCATTTTTAATTATGTGGAGTTGATGTCACCTTCATTAAACAAAATTTAGAGATCTGTAAAGGAATGGTTTATTTTTAAGGAAGTTATTTGAAAAAATTAAATCCTCTATTTTTTTTGTTTTTGTTTTGATTTTATCCCTTTGCCTCGGGAAAACTTTGTGAAGCAAAAATTGGTAATTTCTAGCTTCCAATTGAATGAATTCATGAATTCGTGAAGAAAAAGGAGATTTAAAATAAAAGCCTCGAAGTAAAATACGGAGTCCATGACGGCTAGCATGAAGTAGGTGACATCATGGTTACGACGACGACGACGTTAATGAAAAGAAAAAGAAAAAAATGTCATCTTAATGAAGACGAAAATCATTAATAAGAATTTTCAAATGTAAACAATGATAACTGTTTTCAGCTGAGTAATTTCTTGATCTTTTAATTTTTTTCGAACCGATACAAAGCAAAAAATGTTGCATGTAGGTAAATAAGTGATACTTTAAAAATAGATTCTACGTGGGAGAATATACCATCCCAACATTCTGATCTTTTGTGAGGTCACTTGTGCAAAATAACGATTTCAATGTGCTGCTCAGTTGAGTTAATTGCTTAAAAACTAACTGATTTTTCAGCCCCGAGCAATCGATAATAAACAAATTTCTTTTTCAATCAAACCGAATATCTCATACCAAAACCCCACACCAGAAAAAAAAAACTTTTTCAGGAACATTTTGTTTTGGTGAAGATGTTGAAGGTCATCTTGAAACGAGTTACATGTTTTATTTTCTTTTGGATTCTCGTTTTAAATTCATTTGTCATCGCCAGTGAATATTTTCTATAAAAAATAATTAATTTCCAATGCGGACGAAGAAGAAGAGAAAAAGAAGTCATTAAATACTGACTGATGTTCGTTTTATCTGACCTTAATA